CTTCTTCGTTCTTATCCGTTGTGGCTGTAAGTGTAGACAGGTTCTTAGCTATTCATCTTCATCTCAGATACCAGGAGCTCGTGACTCACAAGCGTATTGTTATTGTGGTGATTTCCATATGGGTCTTGAGTGCATCTGTTTCTTTCACGATGTTCTGGGAATTACGGGCTTATATCAACTTATTCATTTTAGCCTTTGGCTTCATCATCTCATTTGTGGCGTACATCAAGATGTATTTAACAGTTCGACGGCACAAGAATCAGATTCAGTCCTTGCTAGTTGTAGATGAAACTCAGTCTGGAATAATGACTAATTATGCTGCCGTTGTTAAGACTACAGTTGGCGTACTCTACGTTTATCTCGTGCTCTTAGCCAGTTATTTGCCTCATTTTATTTGCATGGCTTTTGTTCGAATCTACCGTGACTCGAGCATTGCTAAAAAACAGCTGTTTCTTTTCTCGTTGACTCTCATGTTTCTTAATTCATCTTTGAACCCTGTCATTTATTGCTGGAAGATGAGACACATTCGACACGCTATCATAGACATACTACGAAATATGCCTCGAATGAGAAATTATTCATCTCGCGTAAATTACGATCGGTCTTTAAGTGTCGTTCGTTTGGGTAACTGACTGAAACCCTTGTGTGGCTAACATGGATTTTATATTGTTTTCTCAGTAGACTTAATGGGGATAAACGAGATCATAGTTACACCTAGTGATATGACGCGTCAGCAGAAGCAATGGCGCAGTTCGAATTTTAAAGAAACATTATGTCATGGAACTGCTTTCTAAAGTCACAGATGCAAAAAGAGTGCGCATGCTCCGCTACTCGAGCCATTGAACATTCAGGGCTACGATTCTTCTTCTGCAAACATAAGCTGACACGGGTTTTTCCGCCGAGAGAACAAACTTTTCCTCCAGGGGTTTGTCTACTGAGGAAGCGATGACAAGAAGCGCTAAAGCGATAACAGGTGCTGCGAACTTCGTAGCCATGTTACAACGGGCTCTTCAACCGTTCAGTCACTAAATTTACATCTGTTACCAAAATACTTTTTTGTTGGGTGAGATATGAGAAGGAGAAGGTTCAACAGAAACTTTCCTAAAAACTTGAACCTTATCTGTTTCATTTTAAGCTTATCCCCGCGAAATGGAAACAATCCATGGGAATTTTCAAAATGTCGCCATTTTGCCTTGATAGTGTTACTATGGAATTCTTGTCGTTTCCATTCCTTTGTACGCATACATTTCTCGCAAGTTAAAAGCATGCGCACTCATTTTTGCCGCTGTGTCCTTGCAGAAAGGGAAAAACTAGACTTTTCTGTAGTTTTTATTAAGGCTGATTTTTTTCGGATGGACAGTGAAATTGTTCTTATGAAGGCAAATAAAGGAAGGATATATTATCTATATCAAGATTTTTTTCGCTTTTTAAAACCAGGATTGAAAATCAATCGAAACTCAGAGCCTTGAGGAACTATTTTCCTAGAGGGAGCTCTTTTATCCCTTGTCAAAATTTTACCCATGAATTCGAAATCTTTCGCAAAAAAACCTCTTAAATTTATCACTCACATGGGGGTGCTAACTTCAAATAAAACTGACAACTTTGTGTGTGAAATTCCTCGAGCAACACTCGAATTTATTGTCATCCATACTCTTGCGTCAGACGTAGACTTACCATACCAGGCCATAGTAGGTGGAAAGTGAACATCTTCTTCTTAAACTAAAAGTGGACTATTTTCTTTCATTTTGTGCATAACATGTTTTGGTTTGTGGAAGAAGCGATCAAGCAAACTGGCTTCTCTCTATTGTTACTAACAAATTGGAAATCCTTGTTAACATC